GATCATCTCTAAAACCACCGCTCGATGATTCAAACTTTGTCTGTGAAAGCTCTTCAAGTGGGCCCAAGTCACAGTCAGGTCAACTCCAAACTCAGCCCCCGAACCCGCGAAGTGTTTGCTGGCTTGGGCCCACGTGTTCTGTCCCAGGGAGGACTCTACCTCGAATATTAAAACATCTGGCCCGTCTGGGCCCTCGAAGTTGATGTTTTCTCTGCAAGGTATGGACCATTCCCCGGGCGAATTCGGAATCTACTTCACGTCGAGAAGCGTTGCCTGGACTGCTGCAGGATGCCCCCGACCATGCTGCCAGCGGTTCTCCACCGACTGCAACTTCTGCAGGGGCTCCTGCCATTCTATGTTGATCGCATTGCGCCAAGCTTCCATCCTTGGGAGGTGCTCCTGCCTGGCCAAAAGAAGCTCTAGCGGGCCCCAAAAAGGGGGATCACTGTTTCGACCTAGACTGATCATGATGGCCGTGGTGGCACAGCCTCCAGCCCATTTGCTAGCACACATTGTTGAAACTTGGGCCCGAAGCTTGTTCAAAGTAGTGGGCGCTAGGCTCATGGCCACGGCCCCCCAGGACACCTGTGGTTTATGCCCCGTGTTAGCCAGCTTCTTGGCCCCATTTGGAGTTCTTATTTAGAAACTTGATCACCCTGGCTCTCTCGGAGCCTTTTAGCTGTCTGGCTTGGGTTACCCCTTGCGTCCTTGCGCCACTGGTTACATCGATGCCGAGGTCCCTGGCTTTGATGTCGACTTGAATGGGGAGGTGGAGTTCGGCGATCTTGATATTGAGGGCCTTCCTGAGCTCAGGGGTGCCGGCGAGCGCAACGGACTTCCTGGAGATCCTCAAACAAGTGCTTGTCACGGTACGAACGGTGATGTCTGCTACGCCAGCGGCTTGCTGCAATGCACGTTGAAAATTGCCTATGTTGAGTTGCGCCAGGTCGCCCACCCAGCTGCTGATCTGGATCTGGTTCGACGGCGGTGGGCATCGATTGTGGATGTGCTCTAACATGCACCATAAGTACAGTCGCGACCAGGCAACACTCTGCATGCATCCAGCAATTATCGAAACCTGCGGATTTCTGATAGTATTCGGCCCACCGCGAGCCAACGATCTGCCAATTGTTGAAGCAGTGCAAGGTAGAAAGGTACAGGCGGATACTGCAGATGCTGAGCCAAACTTGCCAACTATTCGGGTTGGATGAGATTGTAGACTGTTCTGCGCCCCTGAGCACCTGAATCAAATTGATGCCCAGGAGGCCACAGGCCACGCGTTTCTGTTTTTAGTTGGCGATGGATTGCTGCCCTCAAAGGGCTGCTCCCTTTGACCTCGGAGCCACAGAAGCCGGCCTGTGACCTTCCCTAGGATGCAGCAGGTTGTTTTCGAAGGACGCCCCAGAGCTTGCACGGCCATGGCGCGAGGGTAATCGGTATATCTCCTCCTGGCAGGGGCTTCGGCGCCATTGCTACTACGCGGACGAAGGTCTGGAAGTCGCTCTTGCAGAAGACCCTTGTGCCCTGCCACAAGCTGACCCAACGCTGGACCTTCATTTGCATTATCAGCAGCGGTTCGACCGCCTCGAGCCCAATTGGGCCCGTCTACATTCCCAAGGAAGCTTCTGGTTGTTCCCAGGTTCTGGTAAATCTGTGGGCTCAACTGGCCCCGTGCTTGAGGCTCTGCTGCAGGAAATTCTGGAAGTCCTCACTCTTCTCCTTCATGGCTGCGGGACTTACTTTGGCTAAGACTTCTTCGGGCTTGTTTAGGAGATCTCGATCGTTTTCTGGGTTTGCTGGCAGCTCGTGGTGTCCTGCCAGTAACGCTTGGCAAATCGTCCTGTCCGGCTCTGGTACATTGACGATGGCGGTCTTCATTTCTGGGTCCTGTGCCCGGCTCAGCAGCTGTTTACAGATAGCCGTCTCCTGGTGTTCTTCCGTCTGTTCATTCCTCCTATTCGTGATGACGAACAGCTCCTGGATCCTGGATCGGATTCCACCCCAAAGGTTGACGTCCTGGGAGATGCTGAAACAAACGTCTTGGTGGCAGCCCCTCAAGAAGGTTCGTGGGGTGCGTGCTGGGGCACGCACCTCGTCGTCGGTTCCTTTTGGTTTGACTGCTCTATTGAGGAGAAGACTTTCTGCTTGCAATGAACAACGTGCGCACTTCTCGCTCAGCACAGCGCTGGTGGCCTCGCTTCAAATCGAGTAGTACCCTGGAGGCGCAAGCTCAGCGTTGCTCTGCTCGTGAGATTCCGATGGCTGATCAGGCACATGGGTTCTTGGAGGCATCCGGGTAACGCCCTCCAATGTTTGCAATCAAGTCGTGTTTGCTTGCATTGAGTCCACCTCGTATGCCAAGATGAGGTGGCCATGGCCCTTGCAAATCAACCTTCAGAGTGAGGAGAGCGGCGATCTCTTCCGACAATACCGCGTAGTCCAGCACTCTGCCTTGACCCCCCGCGCCAGTGGGAGCTGCTTCACTTGGTGCACTAAGATGCCTCTGACATACGCTGGGCAACCTGAGTCCCGAAGCTGTTGAGGTGTCATATTCCAGTCTCCCATGATCATCAATCATTTGCAATGTGCGCGCAAGTATCTTGTCAACCCTACAACACTTGACCCGTTTGCCCCAACCAAGCTTTCATTGCGATTGAGGTATACTGGCACAAACGTGACGTCCAAACGCTTAGTTCGAACTGTCCTTGCAACCCAGTGTGTCCCATAATACTGGGCTTGTCCCATCGAACCCACTCTGCATTATAACTAGATATCGAATGGATCTGACTATTGCATAGCGCCCGTACACCATCGTGCCCCAATGTTCCATCTGCTGCCGTCGGCACTGTTGGACTGGATGTCGATTCCAAACCTGCTCGCTGCAATTTCTGCGCTTCCAATAACCTGCCAACTCGTAGATGCATCCCCACTCACATATGAATGTCGATGTCGGGCATGCGTGGCCGTTGCATGTACGCGGGCCCATGCCCCGTCCGTTTGATATAATTCGCCGCGCAGGTCTGAATTACATCTGGGTTCGTTGTGCCATCAGACTCGACAAGCGTCTGCCCGTCGCTGCTCATACCGCAACTGCCAGTCACCTCCCCAAAGCCATCCTCCTTCCTCTCCCTCCTCCTCATCATCATCCTCATTCGCTTCCTCCTCGGCCTCCTCCTCCTCCTCCTCCTCCTCCTCATCATCATCATCATCAGCATCATCATCAGCAGCATCATCATCCCCCTCCTCCCCCTCCTCTTCCTCCTCCGCCTCCTCCTCCTCCTCCTCCTCGGCCTGTCGTGGCACCCTTGGCCTCGACACGCCCCCGGCAGAAGCTGACTGCAGCTATTTTGCGGGTATCCGATCCGACCCGATCCGATCTGTCTGTCTCCTGCCCTCGTCCGCCGGCTGCTGACGGAGGCAGTTTTTAGACAGTTGGAGTGGACTATCGGTTGCAGGCTCGGTCTACCAGCTCGTGCATGCTTTGATGCTGTTCACGAAGCCCTGGATAGCAAACGATACTCGCCGCTAGAGCGAGGTACCATTCGAGCATGGAGTTGTGGCGCGGTTTGGACCCGAGTCTACGCTCGTTCGAAGAGGTATGCTTTTCTAGAAGTTTGCGAGCTCTGTGGAGTGGCTCGTGATACGATGTTTCATCGTCTGAAAAAAATCCTCCTCCTCCTCCTCCTCCTCCTCCTCCACCGCGGCCTCGGAGGCTCCAGAGTCCGAGGGGGGCCCCGGGGCAGTCGGGCCACGACACGTCCGCGCGCCCTGCCGCGCCGCGCGCCGCCCGGCCTCCGTTCTGCGCCGCCGCCTCCTCGCCGCCACCTCCGCGCTTTCTCCCCCTCCTCCTCGTCCTCCTCCCTTCCCATCGCCATCAAAGTAGCACGTGTCGCTCCACATTCTGCTTGTTCGGTCACTTTCTGGGTGCGCTTGCGCCCTCGCCCGCCTGCTGCCGCGCCGCATGCCCCTTCGGGCGCGCATCGAGTGGTTGGAGCGGCAGCTGTGTGCTGGTCGTCTTCTTCACATCTCGACGGGGGGCGTTGCGGACAGTTGCAAGTTCACAGCCGTGATCGTGGTGCACCCCGCCGCCTTGGCTGCCCTTTGAGAGTTGCCTCGGGCCGTGATCTCGAGCCAGTTCGCATGAATGATGACCTTGATATTTTACCACGTTGCTGTATAGCATGGCCATGTATACCCGGATGGACATTCTGAAGCTGGCGTTTGGTTGTCCCTTCACCCTCCCGCTCGAATTCATTGCGTGCATGTTGACGGACGCGACGGTGCTGTCGGCGGCGATGAGGACCTTGGTCACGAGCTTGCGTTGGTGCACTATGCCCTGTCCGAGCACGCTCCGCGGATCGAGGAGATGATCATCATGCAAGCTTGTTCCATGACTGCTGCTGTGCAGTCGCGCACTGTTGCGTCGGAACTGCCCGTTCAAGCCGCGTCGCTGGACTATAGCAATCCAAGAATGACTGCTCTAACGTACCTGTCCGTCGAGCGGCTAGCCGAAGCCCTGACATCTTCGTTTCTGCTGAGCCGTACAGCTTCCAGTTTCTCACCCAACAACTTCTTACGAGTAAGTTGGTGGTGCATTCGGCCGCCATGCTCGCGCGGGCCCACAGTGCCGAGACTGTTTGCCGCATGGGCGATCCTCATGCCAACTCCGTCTTTTAGTGTTCGTTGGATTGCTGTTGGTTGTCGTTCCTGTTCCTCCTTTTCCTCCTCTTCTTCCTCCTCCGCCCCATCATCATCCTCATCCTTGTCGCACAAATCCGCCATCTTTACGTATGTGCTTGCTCGCAGTATCCGTTACATAACGGCGTAAGCGACTAGTTCATAATTGGGCTTACGTGGAGAAGGTGTCTTGCAATGAAACACTCGATCATCATCACCATCAGCACCGTATTCATCGACCATCTTCTCCATCCTCATCATACGGTCGCGGCTTCTCCCCCATTCCTTCTCACTCGGTCGCAGTTTCTCTACGCTGTTGCCAGGATTGCCACTTCTGGGCCCACTACGGCGTGCGGGAGTGCCACTGCGTGGTTTTCTCTTGCTCATCGTTCAGACCGGGGAGGGGGATGGACGCAGTGTTTGTGCGAGCGCTGAGGTGAGGGGAGGGGAAGGTCAGCGCAGTTGCCATCGCCGCTGCAGACCCCAGGCCCACATGGAAGCATTGCAGCATGTGTACTGGCCATGATTTAGGCTGGAAGCTCGGTCGGACAGGAGGCACGCGCCACGGGTCCGGTGGAAGGCCGTCCAGGAGAGGAGGCAGGCGGGGGCAGGCGCGGCCGTGGGCGGGCCAGTGCACAGACCCTGCCTCCGCCGACCCGCGCAGATGGGCAGGAAGCACAGGGCCCAGAGAGTGAACGAGCCACCGCCTGCCGCCGCCGCCAGTTGCCGCCGCTACCGCCGCCGCCGTCGCCGCTGCAGCTGCCGGGCACCCGACGCGGCAAAGGGGGGAGGGGCGGCCAAGGAGGGCCCGGATCGGGTCTCAGGCGATCGCAAACATGGATCAAGGGAGCGTGGATTAGCGACGGGCCCCGTTTCCATGGGAAGTCGTGGATTTCCGCCGCCGAGCGAAGCGGCACCGGCCGCATTTTGGGGAGGGCACCTCCCCCGATCCATGGATTTGGCGACCGCGCGCCAAATCCATGGCAAGCGCGGCGCCCCGAGCCTCGGAAGTCCAACGGCGGGCTCGCGTGGTCCGATGCGCCGCGTGCCAGGGCGCGGGGACTTGGGCGCCCGAGTTATCCAGGGTAACTCGGGCCCGGGGTAACATTTGGCTCTCCCGAAAATCGACCCCGAGTTACCCCTGATGATTTGGGGCTCTGGACGCCCGAATTACCGGGGTAGCTCGGGCCCGGGGTAACTCGGGCTCGGATTCCCGAAAAACGAACCCGAGTTAGCCCTCACCCGAGTTACCCTGATGATTCGGGGCTCTGAGGGACCGCTCCTACCCTCCACCACCCTGTCTTCAATCGCCCGCCCTGCGCTGCACCCCTGGCAGCACCCAGCCGGTATGTGGCCCTGGGGAGGGAGAGGCGGAAGAGGGAGAGAAGGAGAAGGAGGAGGAGGGAGCGAGGGAGGGAGGAAGGGGGAGAAAGAGAGAGAGAGATGTAGAAACAAATAGAAGGAGAGAAAGAGAGAGAGAGAGAGAGAGACTCAAGGGAGCAGCGACCCTCGATAAAATCACAATATGTTCGCAGTAAGGGTGCACCAAACTCTGTGTTGTCACGATGTTTGGAGTTTTTAAGGGCATTAATCCCAGAAAGGGAGAGAGAGAGAGAGAGAACAAACAAAACACACAGAGAGAGAGAGAGACAGAGAACAAAAACACTCGAAAAGAGAGGGATATCATATGCACACACGCGTACATCAACAAGCCTTCGCACAGTTATGCACCAAGTGCGCGGCGCCCAAGACATCATCCAGAGCCGCTGGATCTCAGAGATTCTCGATTTATCCTCACCCGATGTTGTCCTCGTTCTGGTTTCGTCTTACTGGATCCCTTCCCTGGGACCAGCGTTGCGTCAGCCGAGCCAGTGGTTGACAGTGTTTGAGCCAGGTAGGGGCCATAAGCCGAAGAATTATCCCAGCGAAGGGCCCAGCCATATGCAAGTAGGAGTGCCGCCAGGCAGGTGGAATGAGTGAGGGGGGAGCTCCCTACGGGGCCACGAAGCGTGTGAGGGGTGTACCGAAACAGTTGTGGCGCCCACAGGTGGACGGTGCGTCTCGGGCGGTAAAAAATCGGACACGGAAATTGGCAGGGCTAAACCAGAATCCCCCCCCCTAAAATGCATGAAGTCCTAAGGACAGACCCGGAAAACATGGGGGACAAACCTGAACATTTTCCAGACAAGCCCGGAAACGCGCCAAACTCGGAAGTGTAAAAACCAAATTTGGGAAAACGAAGCCCAGACCCATAAATTTTGCCGGAGGGGAGCGGGCAAAGTCCGGAAAAGGCAAGCGAGCGCGGATTTGGGGAGTGGCGCGGGGGCGGAGGTTGGTAATGAAGAGTGGGTTGAGGGGGAAGGGGGGAGCAAGGATAGAGGGGGGGAGGAGGGAGGAGGAAGCAGGAGGTGGGGTAGGGAGGAGGCGGCGGCGGCGGGAACGGGCGTGCGTCAGTGGATGGCCTTGGTGCGGGCCTGCGTGTTCCGTGGGCACACAGGTCGCGGCCCCCCACTTGTCAGGAGCGCCGCGCTCTCGCCCCCCCCCCCCCCGAGCACCAAGGTCCGCCTTGGCGCTCCTGCTCCGTCAGCCCTTCGGCTGGAAGAGGGGGAGGAGCAGTGACACGGGCAGCCTCTATCCTCGAAGAGGACTGCCCGGCCTGCGAGAATGGCTGGTTCGCTCGCTGCTCACTCCGCCAGCGCTCTGCCAGACGGGGGAGGATAAAATGCCCGCAGGCAGCCTCACCCCCAGCGGCGCCCCAAACCTATTGGAGCGCAGTAGCTTCCCCCGAGTGACTATGGGAAGTTAAGCCGAAGGCAACGTTGC